TGAACTGTGATCCTCAGATCACAGTCTCCCAAGGAGCTAATATGACAGACAGGAGCCACTGATGTCCCTTTACTTTTAGTCTGTTTCTCCTATGCAATTCTTAGTATATATTTGAGACTTTTTTTTTTTTTTTTTTTTGTCAGTCATAGGGCTTGAACTCTGGGCCTGGGTGCTGTCCCTCGGCTCTTCAGCTCAAGGCTAGGGCTCTACCACTTGAGCACCACTTCTAGTTTTCTGGCGGTTTATTGGAAATACGAGTCTCACGGACTTTCCTGCCCAGGCTGGCTTCGAACCGTGATCCTCAGATCTCAGCCTCCTGAGTAGCTAGGATTACAGGTATGACCTCCAGTGCCTGGCTATATTTGTGACCTTTTAATATGCCTTTTTTTTGTGTGTATGCCAGTCATGGAGCTTGAACTCTGGGCCTTGGCACGGTCCCTGGGCTCTTTAGCTCAAGGCTAGCACTCTACCACTTGAGCCACAGCACCACTTCTGGCTTTTTCTGCTTTTGTAGCGCTGAGGAATCGAACCCAGGGCCTCTTGCATGCAAGACAAGCACTCTACCAGTGAGCCACCTTCCCAACCCTTTAATATGCCTTTTAAGTGGACTATTTAGATGAGCTATGGTTAGTGTATTCTTGATATGGTTGAATTTAACCATCTTGCTATTTTATTTGTTTTTGGTTAACCTTTCTTTTGAGTTAGGCTTAAGGACTTAATTTAATCTCCTCTTTTGGTCCATTTGAGGTGTTACTCTTTGCTCCACTGGCTTATTCTTTGTTCTTGTACTTTTTTACTTCTTGCTCTGTGATTCTAATATGCCTTTGTAAGTTACAATGTATTATTGAATAGTATTCCACTTCTCTTATGAACTAACACTTTTTATAAGAGTTTTTCCATGATCTGAGCTTTGTTTTAAATAAATTATATTACTTAATCTGTCAGTTCACAGTTACCTTTTTTCTTCAGTATATAAGTTATTGCCAGTCCATCCAATGCAATTTCACCTTCATTATTAGAATTTTTGTCTGTATGGGCTGGGATGTAGCTCAGTGGCAAAGCGCTTGCCTAGCAAGTGCAACGTCCTGGGTTCGATCCCCAGTACCAAAAAAGAAAAAGACAAAAAAAAAAAAGGATTTTTGTCTGTAGAGGTTGGTTTGAATAAACCATCCCATTTCATAACTCACCATATCCCTGTTTTCATTTGTTTTTTTAATCATTCTTTTAAAAATCTCTTTGATTATCTTTAAGAAGTTGTACAAAGGAGGTGCCATTAACAAAGGGGTTTATGAATATAGTGCATCCTAATCAGTGTTACCCTTCAGCATCCTCACTTGTATCTTAATATGGGGCATAATCAACACAGACCTTCTAATGCCTTTGCTTGCTCTTCCGTTATTTCTTGGTCTATCTCTGCTCTCTACTAATGGATTTTCCTGCTTCCTAGAATGCCAGTCATTTATTTTTTTTTTTTAACTAAAAGACAAATATGTGTGAAATTGACATTTTTGAATTCTTGGTTTTGTTGAGTCCCTTTAAAAAATATTAGACTTTTTCCTAAAGGCATTTTTCCTTAATTCTTTGTTAGTTTGTTCCTTTCAAGGCTTACAAGCTAGCTTGAGACTTAGCTAGGAAAGTCTGTATTGCAGGCTTCTTCCCCCGCCCCCCCCCGCACCCCCGCACCCCCCCCCCCCCCCCCCCGCCTGCTCTCCCCCCGCCTGCTCTCCCCCCCCCCCCCCCCCCCCCCAGTCCTTCACCATCACCCTGGTCGCTGGTGTGTTCCTCTGCCTGGTTCCTACTTCCATCTTTGTATGTTGAGTGGAGAGAACATGGATTCCTGGCTCCATGCCAGCTCTGAGAATGATTCCTATTGTAACTCTGGTAACTTTTCTGTCTTTAGGAGTTCCATCCTTGCTCTCAAGACAGTATTACCTTTCTCGGTAAAGTTTATGTGTGGCTGAACATTCAAGAAACCCTTTTTCAGTTCACTGCAACTCTCCTCCCTAGATTCTGGCCATCCTGGCCTCCCTGTTTAGCAGGATTACCAGGCTCCATGTGGGGGCTTTCTCCCCACTGAAGTGGTAAATCGCTTCCTGGCTAGGAGCCTGGCTGATGGGAGGACTGGCCTTTTTCTAAGGGATCTCAGTCCTGGACTGCCTGAGTCTGAAAATAGTTCTCTCTATTTGACTTTTTTTTTTTTTCCCGGCAGTCTGTTGTGTGCCTTGAACTCAAGGCCTGGGTGCTGTCCCTGAGCTCTTCTTGCTCAAGGCTAATGCTCTACCACTTGAGCTACAGCGCCACTTCTGGCTTTTTCTGCTTATATGGTACTGAGGAATCGAACCCAGGGCCTCATGCATGCAAGGCAGGCACTCTACCACTGAGCCACCTTCCCAGCCCCTAAAAATAGTTCTCTCCTATGTTTTGTCCTTTCTCTGGCAGCTTACAGGGGGCACCATGCTGGACCTATTTACTCCAAGTCAGAAGGGGAATCACTCTAGGATGAGCTTTAATGCTAACACCTGAACAAAATCAGAAGTTCCCAGGAAACAGTTTTTCTTCCCTAATACTTAACCATTGATTCAGTCTCCCCCCCCCCCCCCATTATTGTTATAAATGAGCTTGTCTTTACTGTAACAATTCCTTAACATTTTTTCTTCCAAGAGCCAAGTGGCAGCTTTAAATCAGAGTCTAACAAGAAGAGAATGATGTGTGATACAAATCAGGAAAATGAACTTGATCTCCCTATTATGGTAATTGTTAATGTATTAGCAGTTCATTGGAAACATAAAAGAATAAATACCAGTGGGCATCAGAATACAAATGAACCAATTGGTTTAGTGTTTAGAAATACATATCCTATAATTTTAGGGGGGTAGCCATGTGGAACTTACTTTGTATCAGAAATTGTCAAATGTTAATTGTAATGGGCTCCACTGTGTGTTCTTAGACATTGTGGGTGTCTGGTCCTGGGCCAGCTAATCAACTCAGCCTTTGTAGTACAGAAGTGGCCATAGACAATACAGAAATAAATGAGTTGGCTGAAATGTTTATTTTTGGACAATGAAATTTAAATTTCATATAATTGTGGCTCCACTTAGTCTTTGATTTTAATTGTGTGTGTGTGTGTGTGTGTGTGTGTGTGCCGGTCCTGGGGCTTGAACCCAGGGCCTAAGAGCTATCCTTGAGCTGTTTTGCTCAAGGCTGGCTCCACTTATGGCTTTTTTGATGGTTCATTGTAGATAAGAATTTGAAGGACTTTTCTGCCTGGGCTGGCTTCAAACTGTGATCCTCAGATCTCAGCCTCCGGGATAGCTAGGATTACCAGCATGAGCCACTGGTGCCTGGTGTTTTTTGATTGTTTTTTTCCCCCCCATATTCCCAGGTGTCGGGTGAGACTTGTCTCATGGGTCATGGCTCAACAACCCCTACACTGGGTGGATAAAAAGCTCACCATAGCTTTTTCCTAGGAGACCTTTGTTTTTTCAGTGCTCAGTGATATTTTTACTCAAAAGCACTCCCTACTCTTAAGTTAAACAGCAAAGTAAACAAGATTGCACACATTTGAGCCTGTAGGATTTTGAGAGATTAGATAGTGTCAAAGGTTATGTCAGAAGCAAGGTTTGGTGGCACATGCCTGCAGTGTTGGCCACTCTTTTGAACAAGCCTGAGCTGAAGAACTTCAGACCGGTCTGGGCAGCAGAGTGTGAGACCTATAGAATGAAGGAGGAAAGCAGCAGGAATGATCATAGAAAGCATCCACACAGATCAGAATGGCAGATTTCATTTCAGAAGTGAGTTTAAATATGAATTGACTCAACTCTTCAGAGTCCAGAAAATTTTCTGACTGGATAAAATTGTGAGATCCAACTATATATATCTTGTCTACAAAGCACATAGTATCTTGCCTGCAAATCACACAAATATACCAAATGTTCACCTTTAAAATATTCAAATTCAAAAAGAAAATTGGAAGAGCTGAGGGAGAAGTTCACCATCCAATCATAGCCAAGCCACTGTAACCAAGCAAGGTTTTCTGGACTCACAAGGGTGTGGTGGGGGAGGGGGGGGAGGCTGTAATGGGGAGGGCCGGGTGAAGTTTTGGTTCAGAGTGGGAAAAAGTATAAGGATAAAAGTTGAAAAATAAAAGGAAAACTGGCATAAATTGCATTTTCTCCCTAAAGCTTTTCTGCCACTGACCAGATATGTAATATTGAGTGATGTAATTTCTTCTCATTTATTTTGGTGAGGTTTTGGTAAGCCACTCACTGGTGCCCAGCAAGAGTCATTTTTGTAGAGGTGAGGTCTTGGTTAATGATTTCTCACTCAGTGACTATCCATCTACTGCTAGCAAAATAAGTCTGCAAGAACAGCTAAATGGTGTTCTAGCAAATCTGTTGCTTTATGTCCTTGTGATTCATGTACCTGGTTCTTAGATAGGACATGAGATTTATCAAGTATAAGGTTCCATTTGGTCTTTACCTACATAGGGAAATTACTTCTTAAACTCTATTTGTTTTATTAATTGGTTGGTTGGTTGATTTTTGTGCTGGTTCTGGGGCCGGGCCTGGGCACTCAGTTCTTTTGCTCAAAGCTAGTGCTCTAACACTTGAGCCACAGCTCCACTTCCAGGAAGTTTTTTTGTTTTTTTTTTTTCTTTTTCTTTTTGGTTGGTCATGAGGCTTGAACTCAGAGCCTAGGTGCTGTCCCTCAGCCTCTTTGTGCTCAAGATTACTGCTCTATCACAGCACCACTTCCAGTTTTTGAGTAGTTAATTGGAAATAAGAGTCTCACAGAGACTTTTCTGCCCAGGCTGCCTTCAAACTGCGATCCTCAGATCTCAGCCTCCTGAGTAGCTAGGTTACTTCTTAATGAATTAGATGAATTATAATTGTCACCATGGGTGGAATTAGTCATACCCAAAAGGAAAGAAAGGTATCCAATGTAGTTGAAACTAATTTACTCTCCAGTTTAGCTGTTGTATTTATTTTTTTCTTTTGCAGTAAAGATCGCTATCTTCAGAACCTACCAGAAGAAATGAGAGGCAAGAAAGAAAGGCCATTCATTTTGGAAAGACCCAAACGACACTGCAGTTATAAAGGAAAGTAACACCAGCTGCTAAACTGCCACCATCACCAGAACCCATGAGGTGCTTCAAATTCAAACGGTACAGTGACCACAATAATCTCCCTATCCTGGTGTTTCTACCAAGAACTTACATTTGGCTTCAAAGGATTCCTTTTAAAGTTGAAGTGTTTACTTCATAAATGCCAAATTATTTTATAGTTTCCTATTTCAGACTTTGGTCATTAATGTTTGTTTTAAAGTTTTGATTGTGTGTTGGGGTGGTATGCTCATGCATGTTCACACGCCGGTCCTGGGGCTTGAACTCAGGGCCTCTCCCTTGCTTGGCTTTTTCACTCAAAACTGGTGTTCTACCACTTGAGGCACTCCTTCACTTCTGGCTTTCTCCTTCTTGGATTTTCTGCCAGGCTGGCCTCAAGCCACAATCCTCCACATTTCAGCTTCCTGAGTAGCTACGATTACAGGTGTGGGCCCTCTGAACCCAGCACACCCTCCCCTTTCTTAAGAAAAATTTAAGCTTGTTTGAGGAAGAATGTGGTATATAATAATGCATTTATAAGTCCATCCCTCACCAAATATTTTTTCATTCAACAGAAATAAACCAAGTAACATAAATAGCAAGCAGTTCTTTTCAAATACTCAAAGGGTTTTGGGTCTTGTTTTTTGAGTTTTATTTCATGGTTTTTTTTTTTAGTCTTACTTGACATCTGGTCTCCTTTTCTCTTTTCATAGCTGACGTCCTATTTTTATTTCATCTTTATTTTCTCCTTTGCCCTTCTCTACCTTAAAAAAAATTATCTTACATGAATTGAGAGTTACAAAATGTATAGGATCCAAAATAGAAAAAAGATACATTTGAAAAAAAAAGCTACAAAAAATTCTTACTGTAATACCAATGGAGAAGAAAGAAAATGGGGCAAGAAGTTATTTAAAAAATAAGGCTTCCAAGTGAGGCTGTTGAGCACCAGTGACTCATAATCCTAGTTTAGGAGGCTGAGGATCTTAGTTCAAGGCCAGTCCCAGAAGGAAAGTCTGTTACTCTCCCTCTATAAGATAATCAGTGACAGACTGGGCTAGAGATGTGCCTAACAGGTAGGGCACAAAAATTTTCTTGTTGTGAAATTACAAAGACTGTTAGATTTCAAGTATAGTACAAAGCAATCATATAAATATTTGAAATCATCAACCTTCTTTTTGATCTTAGGCCAAAATTATTTCAATGAATGTTTAATAAAGAACAAAATACTTACAATTTTTATGGTATCATAGTGAACAGCTATAACTTGTTTATTAGATTTCCTTAATTTTATTTTTTGACAGATAATTTCACTTACATATTAGAAATACATGGGTCTAAGCTGAAACTAGCTCCTTGTAAAATGCAGGAAATATGAAACATCCCTCAAGTATAGTATCATGTTGTGATCCTAAAGATTCTAAGGAATACAGTACCTGATTTTTTTTTTTTTGTATGTACAGAGGATTGAACTCAGAGCATTGCAAGGCAGGCGCTCTACTACCTGAGCCTTGCCTCCAGCTCCTTTTTCCATTGGTTATTTTCAAGGTGTGTTCTCACTTCTACCTGGGATGCAGTGCTTATACCCATGTCACTTGCTTCTTTCTTTCTTTCTTTCTTTCTTTTTTTTTTCTTGGTTGGTCGTGAGGCTTGAACTCGGGGCCTGGGTGCTGTCCGTTTGCCTCTTTGTGCTCAAGGCTAGTGCTCTGTCACAGCACCATTTCTAGTTTTTGAGTGGTTAATTGGAAATAAGAGTCTCACAGGGACTTTTCTGCCCAGGCTGCCTTCAAACTGCGATTCTCAGATCTCGGCCTCCTGAGTTAGCTAGGTTACTTTTTAATGAATTAGATGAATTATAATTGTCACCATGGGTGAAATTAGTCATATCCAAAAGGAAAGAAAGGTGCACAACACTGTGCCTCCCTGTCATTAATTGAGACGAAATTATATGAATGTTTATACCTAGGCTGTCCTCAAACTTTGATCCTTTGACTCTACCTCCTAAGTAGCAAGGATTATAGGCGTGAGCCACCATGCCTAACATTTGGACTTGTTTTAATGCAGTGGTTCAACATATGTATAATCCTAGATACACCAAACACCAAAAAAATGTTTTAATTACTCTTTGATGTACTAACGTGAATTTGATAAAATATCTTGAGTGATTTAAAAAATATTTTTACTATAATTTTTCTTCACTAAAGTAATAACTAAAAAACCCAATAACATTAACAGTGGTTTATGAACCCAGTTGTAGGTTAAACTTCTAACTTAAAACTAACTAGTGCTCTTCTGTGATCTAGTAGTTACATAGCCACATCACCCCTCAACCAATAAAACAGTTTAAGTTCACAAAAGATACTTTTCAATACAGCAGAAGTTAAAGTGCCGACTGTTCACTTTCTCAGGTATAATAATACATAGGAAGTCTCCAGAATTCCCGGTCTTCTCCATCCATGCCCTAAGTTTAATTATTTCTGTTTCCATAATCCTGTGTAGATATTTACTGCCATCTGTGTACCATGCATTATAGAGTTCCTCATCCCATTTCAATCCATTTCCTAGTGATTTGGGGTTACTGTGGATAGGATTGTTGAAATCTACAGGGTTTTTCTGGTCATTCATTTCCATTTTTTAAGCTACTTGATTGTTTTCAGCATTAAGGTGTCACTGAGGCACAGTCAAACTCCTCCATCTCCTTACAAAATTGAACAGAACTACACCACTTCTCTCCAGCCATGCCCACCCTCAGGATGCAGGTCTGTGAGGTACAAAACACTACAGAAGACTTTACACTCATGCATTATTATTATTTTCCTCTGTAAGCTGAGTGCCTCTAAAATTTAAATCTGTGTCCGTTGACTCAGATTTTTGGTTGTGCAGTACATGTAGTTTCTAACTTACAGAGCTAGAAATTTTAGATTTTCAGTTGCACAAACTATCAGGGACCCTTGATAAAACGTAAAGAATGGCATTCTAGCTATGTCACACTAAGGTTATGCCAAACACCTAGTTTTTAAGATCATTTTGTCGGGTGTGAGCCACAGCCCTTGTGAGTGAGGGAATGTATTAGAGGTGAGACATGATCACCATCGCGAACCATTAGATAGAAACCTGTCCAGAATCTTAAATGCGTAAGTTTTGATGGGCCTTTTACACATATTGTTTCACAATATCTTAGGGAATGGTTTTGATGCTGAGAAGCCTAGGCTGTTTTTATTTGTTTTTGTCAGTTGTGGGGCTTGAACTCAGGTTCTGAGTGATGTCCCTGAGCTCTTTTGCTCAAAGTTAGCATTCTACCACTTGAACCACAGCTTCACTCGCAATTTTCTGGTGGTTCATTAGAAATAAGAAGCTCATGGACTTTCTTGCCCAAGTTGGCTTTGAACCTCAATCCTCAGATGTTAACCGAGTAGCTAGAATTACAGGCATGAGCCACCAGCGCCCAACTTGTTTTGTGTTTTTAACATGTTCTGTAATGTAAAAGAAAATAGTCAAAACTTTAATGTGGCTTTTTAAAAGATAACTTAGCTGGGTGCCTGTGACTAATGCCTATAACCCTAGCTAACTCAGGAGGTTGAGATCTGAGAATCATGGTTCAAAGGCAGCAGGGGCAGGAAAGTCTGTGAGAATCTTGTCTCCAGTTAACCACCAAAAAACTGTGTCTCAAATGGCAAAGTACTAGCCTCCTATGAAGAGGCTATGGGACAGTAGAAAGGCCCTGAGTTCAAGTCCCAGTATCAGCACCTCAAAACCAAAACATTTTTCATAAAACTATGTAAATTTCATTGAAAGTTATAATGGCAATCCCTACATTTTATTTGTGGTAAAGACAGAGTAGGGAAAAAAAAGAGACATGAATGGGAAAAATCTAAACTGAGCTTTATATTTCTCTGTCTTCTCCTGATGTTTTATGTGCCTTTCTTCAGTGGTTTGAAATCTCACAGGGTGATTCTGCCTTTAGAAGCTCAGATAGTAATGGATTCAGAGACCAGTTAATCTTAATGGTGCAGATTTCCTGTTCACTTTATATATTGTTTCTTCAAATAGGTGCTTCTTGTTCTATTAAATGTAAAAGGCTAAGTGCAGTAGAACCTACCATCAGAATTCAACATAGTAGAGCTATAAATTCTTCCCTAATTGATATGCCAGCTTAACTCAATTCCTAAATCCAAGGGGGGGGGGGGGGGAGAGAGAGAGAGAGAATCCTAAAATCTGTGAAAAGGTAGGAGATTTAGAATACCTAAAATAACTGTGAAAGCACAGGACCACTTTACCTGTGTGCAAGGCATAATATAATCACAGTAGTTGAGGTAGGTTACAGATAGTGGAATAGGAATATATCTTATCTGTGGGTTCAAGTAACGAACCCAGAGCTAGCTACACACAAGTCTCACCAGCTCTGCTATTCACTGCTGTGGAAAAAATGAAGAAGAAAAGACTTATTTTGGCTCATATTTCGGAAGTTCTGGTCTGTACTTGCTGGTTCCAGGACTTTTCAGGCAAGGCAGACGCACGGCATAGGCGAGCTGCTCACCCCTTGGCAGCCAGGAAGCAGGGGTGAAGGAAGTGGTCAGAGACTAGATCTGCCCTTAAAGGCCAGCCCCGCAGGGACCTGACTCCATTTATGAGGTTGAACTGTCAATCCCATCGCCTCTAAAAGAACCCACTGCCATACCTTGCTTTCCTAGGACCCAAGCATTCAACACATGAGACTTCCCCAAAGGCCAGATCCATGTCACAGCACCAGCTGATCTTGCGGTGTAAAGGTGTAGAGGCGATTAATTAATCAAGTGGAGGATGTCTGTTCAGCAAATGGTGCTGGAGTGACTGGATACTCACAGGCCAAAACAAACCAGAACCTCAGTGTATACTTGATACAGAATTTCCCTAAACATAGAGCATAGAAGGAAATGGAAAATGTACAAGTCTGTGAAGGAAAGCAAGGAAGAAATATTTAGGACTTAGTGATAACTAGATAGGCTATCAAAGCACAACCATATGTGTTAGTTAGCTTTCTGTTACTGTAACAAAATATCCAAGAAAAGCATCTTAAAAACAGAAAG